ACGTCTGGCAGTAGCCTGGCCGTGGTTTGGGTTTAATATGCGTCGCTCCGTCTAAAACCACGTTTTACAAAATAACCCACGCGTGGGATGTGCGTGGGCTGTGCTCAATTTGCGCCGGACCTTAAACATGTGGGGCCTTGGTCTATATTGTTTTTGTGCTCCACCAAAGGTTATGCGACGCGAGACAGTATACACGCTAAAAAAATAAAAAACATTTATTTTTTTTTTAAATAAATGTTTGCTTCGCTTTAGAATTGTTGTAAATACCCCGAAAATTACCCTCGTATAAAGAACATTTAGTTCCCTTACGATTATAATTTTGTCTGTCCATTATCGATCCATTTTGAGGCGTGTTCGGAGCTCAATTTTTATTACTCCATAGTGAGACCTACATTCGAAAAACTAAAATAATTTTGGTAATGCCATTCATTAATCGGAAAAGTAGTTCGAATGTTAATTCAAGAATTTATTCCACTTTCAAACTCATAAAACTAAGTGCTGTGACGTAGTGTGAAATTTTATTAATAATGACATGCAGTTTATAGTAGTGCTATGTTAATCGATTCTTTGGAGAAGTCATTGTCATACGACAATGAGTGCAAGTGCATGGGCATTTGTCTTGCTTTACAGTGTTGTCGTTGCTCTTGTTGGTATAATTTTATGGATTCTCTGTGTGTGGTGTAAACTGAAGAGACAGAAGCTTACATTTTGTTTCAATAGTAATTGTAAGTTTTACAAACTGAAAGAAAACGTTTGATGTTTGTATAAATTCTCCGTCTTTAGTTATAAAACTACTTGAAACATGTAGAAAGTGCTACACTTTTTGTCAAAGTGAATGAATTTTTATACATAATTTTTTGAATGTCAGTAACGCTACGAAGGTTCACCATAATCATCCATGACCATTCCAATTTTCGAAACAAGTAGCATCCATACCATTCTTTTAAGTTTTTCAGCCAATGTATTCGTCTTCCTAGGACACTCCTTGTGCCTTTTATTTTACTTTGGATTGTGAGTTGCAAGTTGCTGCGTTTTTCTCCACGTGTTAAATGTCTGAGGTGTTTTAGTTTTCTTTTGCTTATTGTCCTTTCAACTCCTTTTTTTTTTTTTCATTTTTTGTAACGGTTCAACAGGATCAACTCCCGAGATCAACAGAATCCTTCTATACGTTTATATTGTACATAACATTACAATCAATCTCATTTTTATGGTTATTGTCAAATTTCTAACTTTATTATTCTCTTTATTATATTTCTAACATTTATTTCGACAATATAATCGTTATTTTCTGTTATTAGTGTTCAAAGGTAATATATTTCTTAACTCGTTCGATCTGCTGGTAGTATTGTTATTCGTAATAATTTTCAATATGTGGGGATAAACTAATTTATCCCGAACTCCCATGGCATATTAATAGCGGATTCGGATAAACAAATACGTTTATTTCTCCACCAGTTTTACCACTTTGTCTTGAATAGTTAAATGGTAATTAGGGACCATATTTGTCAAAAACTTAGTTTTGGTCTAGTTAATTCTACGATCCACCTTCGAAGATTTTCTTCAAGTGCCATCTCCGTGGCGGAGGTCGGCAATCATCATAGCTATTCGGACTTTTGAAAGGGCTGCTCTGAAAAGTTCATTTGTTGTACATCCGTACCACTCTCAGGTTGCGCAACCATGACATTCTACGCCTCCCTATATAAAACATGCATATCTTTGAACATGCAAAGTCCAATTCATGTAACATATCTTTTTCTTCTAGTTCCATGACCGTTATCGATCGTTGGATATCATGTTGGCTACCATATTCGCTATCGTGACTTTATTGACAGCAGCTCTAAATAACGATGTAGTTGATTTTCCATACCATTGCCTTAGATTTTTCAGCCATGATGTTCTTCTTCTACCAGGACCACGATTACCTTGGATCTTTCCCTGAATGATCAGATGTAAAAGATCATATTTTTCAGGGTGTCTCATAATATGACCGAAGTATTCCAGTCTTTATTATATTGACCAGTTGTGTTGTTTGGTTCAGCCGTCTAAGGACCTCCTCATTTCTAACTCTGTCGACCCAGCTTATTTTCAGTAGTCGTCTGTATACCCACATCTCAAAGGCTGTCAAGCGTTTAAGCATAGCCTCAGTTAGGGTCCATGCTTCTACTCCATACAGCAGGACAGGAAAGATGTAGCAAGATATCATACGAACTCTAAGGTCAATGCTAAGATCATGACTGCAAAGTACGTTTCTCATTTTTACAAAGGCAGCTCGGGCTTGTTCTATTCGGCTTTTAATTTCTGCGGTTGGATCCCAGCTCTCATTGATATTACTGCCGAGATACACGAGTTTCTCTACTCTGTCCAGTGTAGCATCTCCGACTTTTATACCGTCATCATGTATATAATTTTGTTTGCTAACTATCATATATTTAGTTTTCTTAACGTTGAGTTTTAATCCATACTGATCACAAGTCTGTTTTATTTTGTTCATTAGATTTTGAAGGTCTTCTCCGCAATTGGCAAGGACTAAGGTATCGTCGGCATATCTAATATTGTTGACGGTTACTCCATTCACAATAATACCTTCGGTTGTCTCCATTAAGGCTTCCTTAAATATTTCCTCCGAATATAAGTTAAAAAGTAAAGGCGACAATATACAGCCTTGTCTCACTCCTCTCTTTATATTTATTTCATCCGACAGTTCTTGTTCAACCTTTATTCTTGCCACTTGATGCCAGTATAGATTTGTAATTATTCGTAGATCTTTATCGTCCAATCCAGCTGTTTCCAATATTTCTAGCATTTTGTTATGTCGGACTTTGTCAAAAGCTTTTTCGAAATCGATTGCACAAATATACACATTTTGATTTATATCTCTGCATCTCTGTACTAGCACCTGTATACTAAACAAGGCTTCTCTTGTACCCAAGCCACTCCTAAACCCAAATTGAGTATTGCTAATTCTGTCCTCTAACAGCGTATAAATTCTGCTGTGTATTACTCGCAGAAAGATTTTCAAAACGTGACTCATCAGACTTATTGTCCGATAATCACCGCATGTCTTTGGACGATGTTTCTTAGGTATTGTGACAAATGTCGACCTTAACCAATCAGTTGGTAATATCCCAGTGTCATAAATTCTGTTAAAGAGATTACACAGAGCTTTAATTCCATTTTCTCCCAAAAACTTTAGTATTTCAGCACTTACTTCATCGGGGCCAAGTGCTTTTCCATTTTTTGCCGTTTGTATTGAACGTCTTACCTCACTTTCTGTTATAGATGGACCTGATATAGCAATCGGTGTATAGTGTTCTACTCTCTCATCTTCAAATAATTCAGAAATGTAGTTTTCCCATTCTTTTAACTTTTCATTGATGTCTAATATTCTGTGTCCGTTTCTGTCTTCTAAACTTTGGGATACTTGTTTCCATTTGTTTCCAGCGACCTCTTTCAATTTCTTGTGCAGATGAAATGTATCGTGTTTCTTTTCATATTGTTGAATTTCATTACATTCTTTACTATGAAATTGTGTTTTCGCGTGTCTTATCTTCTGCCTGATTATTGCGTGGATCCTCTTGTATTCGTTTTTATCTTTATTTCTGACTTCTGACTCTTCTTTGATCCATAAGTCTCAGTATTTCTTCTGTCATCCACCCTTGTTTTTTTCTTGCTTTTAGCGCACTCAATTTTGTTTTTTGAACAGTCTTTAAGATGTCTTTAATTCTCGTCCAGTTTTCCTCAGTACTTTCTTCTTTGCTTGATGTTAACTTCATCTTTTGTTCTAATATACTGGTTATTTCTTGTTTTACAGTATCATTTAGCATCGTTTCTCTATCAATAGTAACTGTTTGCTTATTCGTTCTTGCAACTCTTTTTAATCTCAGTCTTATTTTTCCTACTAAAATATTGTGATCGGTTGGTACATCTGCTCCTGGATATGTTTTTACTGATAATACTGAATTACTGTATCTCTTATTTATACATATGAAGTCTATTTGGTTACGAATAACTCGTTCAGGTGTATCTGCTGGTGATTTCCAGGTGTAAAGACGACGTTTTGGAAGTTTGAAAATTGTGTTCATTATTACTAATTGCTTTTCTACGCAAAAAGATGCCAACATATCTCCTCTTTCATTTCGTATTCCCAGACCATATTTCCCTGTGACATCTTCCTGTTCACCTTCACCAATCTTTGCATTAAAATCTCCCATGATAATATTGAGATCGTGTTTCTTTGTAGGTGCTAATACTTTTTCTAAATCATGATAGAATTTTTCAATTTCTTCTTGTTCATAGTCTTGTGAACATATCTTTGGCTTCACCTAAATTATTTGTGATACGGACAATGTCATCTGCTAAACGGAGATGGTTAATCTTTTTTAGCTGTCTATTGATATTCCTCTGTGGTCTCAATTGACCATATTAAAGGCATACATTGTCTACTAGTAGCTGGAAAATACATTGTTCATCTCAAAAGATAATTACAGGTCTTTCTCAAATATATTTTTTAGAACTTTGGGCATAAATATATTTTAAACGAATATACATTTGTTCCTTGCGAAACGATGGTAATTATACAAATATTTTTACCTAATCTAACTTCTAGCTTCTTTAATATCAACAATAGGTCGAGTTGATGTTATAAAATGTTATAAATAATGACGTAATTGGCGCAGTCATCGGTAATATCTTATGATTCCTTGTATCCAATTAAATCGCCAATTCCACAATTGAAGAATACATCAAAAAGAATCGTTTGACCTTAAAAATTTAATGTGTTTTTTAAAGCTAGCTTCTCACGCTTATCTACTGTTTTTTTTTTTCATCAAGTAGTCTACTGCTATAAGTTTTTAATTAATGTTTAATGCCCTAGAGCCACGCCGCCTTATAGCGCCTCTTCAAATTCTTTTATTTACAGCTAAACTTGATTCCATTTCTCAAGCAATCTTTCTTTATTTTAACGTAATATAATATTACTAAACTAACTATTTTTTTTACAGATGGTCCCTCGGTTACAACAGTCACGACAACGCAGCATACTCAATCGCCACAAGTAGTTCCACCCTATCCCATAGATACACGTCATCCGGTACCGAGTAGTAATATTACGGGATATGGTAATCAAGCCCCATATCCACAATACCCATTCAACACAGGTAAGTTTGCTGACGATTTACTGAGAAATACTAATGTACATCCTAAATTAATTCAGTATCTGAAGCTGGAGTTTTTTTAGCTGACTATCATAAAATATTCAAAATGTTCTAAAACGAATAAACGCTGCATTTTGCATGTGGTAATCATATCCAAACAAAAAAATATGAAAACCGGAAAAGACTCTGGACCTGACTATGTTCATAGTGAAATTATACAACTTTTGGAAGAAGACAATTTAGAACTATTATCAAGACTCTTCAACAGTATATACAAGACTGGTACAATTCCACAAGATTGGTTAACGTCTACGTTTGTGCCTATACGTAAATCAAACTACGCAAAAAAATGTAACGACTTTCGATTAAGTCTCATGCCCCATATTCTGAAGTTATTTCTAAAAATTATCTTTAACAGAATTTACAAAAAATGTGAAGAAGATATGGGTCCTGAACAATTTGGCTTTCGAAACGGTCTGGGAACTCGAGAAGCTTTATTCAATTTCATTGTTCTCATGTAAAAGTGTCGGGATCAACAAAAAGATGTCTACTTGTGCTTTATAGATTATGAAAAGGCTTTTGACAAAGTCAAACATGATCCGCTAATAGAATGCTTGCAAAAAAAGAACCTGGATCCAAACGACATTAATACAATACGTGAACTCTACTGGAACCAAAACGCCTCTGTTAGAACTGAAATGGGTGATTCTGAAACCATAAACATCCAAAGAGGAGTTAGACAAGGTTGTATACTATCAGAACATCTTTGCACAAGCTCTAGATGAAGCACAAGAAGGAATAAAAGTCAATGGAAACATCAGGTATGCCGATGATACAGTACTGATTGCTGGCAATGAAGAAGTACTACAAATTCTGTTAACCAAAGTAGTGCGAGAAGGAGAACTATACGGCCTTAAGGTGTATGTAGAAAAAACCAAAACAATGGAAATTTCAAAAAACACACACCAGTTATAAACATACTAGTCAACAACAATCTACTTGAACAAGTGAAAAAGTTTAAGTATCTAGGCTGTTGGATACATGAAACCTTAGACCAAGAACAAGAGGTTAAATGTAGAATAGAAAGAAAGAAAGTTACAATTGACTTAAAAACCAAATATATGAAAAAATCCACAAGGAAAACAATTCCTGTAGCTGGCTGTATACCACGTATCACAAAAAAGAGGTTAGTCTTCGTAAATGGGTATATTTATTTAAGAACCCTTAAAAGGGCTACATCAAACAAACAAACGTTTTCGGACTAAACAGTCCATCATCAGGTTTAAATTTTAAAATTGCTAGGTTATAATGCCTGAGCCACCAAAATACCTGGGTAAAAACCCTTTAAATTACATATAGTTGTAAAAGATTATACATCATGTTGTAAAAAACTGTGATGTTCAGTATTAAATTAAATATGACTTCAGGTAACATACATGGCTGAAGTGAGTTCCAGAGCCGGAGAGTAAACCTCTTCACACGGAGAACAGCTGGTAACTGTTAGGTTACCAGATACAAGAGTTTTGCAATTGTGATTTTTGTGTGATACTACACTTTGGTTGTCTTTTGATGTTTTTATCTCCTTGGCGAGTCAGATTACCTATAATTAGGTTTTTTGATAATAGAAGGAACTACATCATGTATAATAAAGAAATTATAAATTCGATTTATGTAAAAACACACCAACGATAAATGCTGAGCTCAGTTTATTATTAGTACAGTTAACTATGTGACTAAAACTCCAGCTAGAGATACTAATTTTGCAACCAAAACATAATAAAACGCGTGCTAACAATTCTATTTATAATTTACATAGTACCGCAACCATACGGTCTTCCTCCGCCTCCGATGGGTATGGCAGGTACTTCGTTTTTTACTGGTCAGTGGGACTTTGCTATGATTGGCTTTCGATTAATGTTTTGAACCTGCATTTTTTTGCACAAGCACGTAATTTCACACAAAAACTTGTACAGCACTTAACACCTCCCTCAGTGTATGTTAAGTAGTATTGGGGGCAATATTTTCAAAGCTTTTGAATATCAGGTTTAACTGGATATTTATTTATCCATTTATATTTATAATGGATATTTCAATACATTAAAAGAGGAAATTATTTAGGACTTGCTCACAGCGCTTTATTTAATATCCTCCTCCTTCACCTTCTCCCCCTCCCCTTCTCCCCCTCCCCTTCTCCTCCTTCCCCTCCTCCTCATTCCCCTCCTCCTCGTTCCCCTCTACACCTTGTCCTCCATCTCTTCCTCCTTCTCCTACTCTTCCTACTTCTCCTCCTGTTCCTCCTCCTCCTCCTCCTGTTCCTCCTCCTCCTCTTCCCCTTCTCCTCTTCCTCCTTCTCCTCATTTTCCTCCTCCTCGTCTTCCTCCTTCTCCTCCACCTCCTCCTTCTCCTCTTCCTCCTTCTCCTCCTCATCTTCCTCCTCCTATGTACCATATCTATTGAGATTGGCGACCTCTATGGCAAAGTCTTGACTATTGTGGGCTAGGAGTTTCCTTCAGTTCTAGTTTAGAATCTTATATTCCTGAGCCACCATTTCTTTTTTCTTCATATGCCAGGTTTTCCTTCAATTTTTCCTTCAATAATTAGTTGTAATTGGCCTTAATAGGTTTTGTCTTGAAATTATTTATAAAAGTAATTTACAGTAGAATACATAAGAAAATATGTGAAGACATAAGTAATACAGTAAACTGTAACTTAGGAAAGGTCTAGGGACTCTAGATGCACTGTTTGCAGTGAGCGTTCTTTCGCAGAGATGCTTGCTTACATATACATAAGGAATTATATGTCTGTTTTATTGATTTCGAGAAGATTTTTGACAGAGGCAGCATAGTCATCCTAAAAAAAATTGTTTAACAAAAACATTACTGCAGAGATATTAGAATTATATGTAACCTAACAGCGAAAGTGAAAATTAAAGATGAACTGACTGATGACATTCAGATTCATTGTAGAGTGCCCCAAGGGTGTATTCTATTACCATTGTGGTTTAATTTGTATAGTGAAGCCATCTGTGAATTAGCGTTGGCCAAAGGAAAAGAGAGGACCCAATAATAAATGGTGAGCCACTCAAGAACTTTTCAGACGCTTAACAAACACAATTATAATTGGCAGAATGTGGCATTATTGGCCTCATGATCTCTGTGTGGGTACTGCATCTCTTTAATTACACAAAAATATACAGGGTGTCGATTCTTGAGCTCAAAATACTAAAATTTAACCCAAATAACTTAAATAAAATGTGGCTCCTTACTGAGTTACAGGGTGCTTTATTTAAAATTAAAAAATGTTTATACCCAGTACTTTAAAAATATTTGACATGTCCTTGTTATACTTGGCAGTAGGTGAATGTATTGTACACCCTACTAAATTCACGTATTGGGATTTTAAATATCCTAACTCTGGCTGTTTCTCCAGTTAAGTCTCTTGTAAATGTAGCCTCGTCAGTAAGAAGATTTTTTTTTAGTAAAATTACGATTTTATATGTACTGACATAATTAATACATCAATCAAAATAACTGTGCCCCTTTATTTTTAACTTAGAATATCTCGAAAAATAATGACTTTATTGTTACAAATGAAGAGTAATATTATCTACGTAAAAAGTATTGAAGATTCAAAAAATTTTGCTAAAATAACAATTCCGCTAGTGGCGCAGAATTTGGCAGGGGTCAACCATTCACTTTCCCCTGTCGTACGCCTTTGGCAATAGTTAGAAACTTTTATTTAACTGAATTTAGTAAGGTGTACAGTATTTACTCTTCCTACCAAGTATGACAAGGGTATGTCAAATGGATGTAAAGTACTGGGTACAAATACCCTATAACTCAGTAAGGTGCCACATGTTATTTAAGTGAAACCCTATTGAAAAACAATTTTATACACGAAAAACACAGTGGCTAGTTGCATGTATAATAGCAATAATGGTAGTTACTAGACAAAATGATGCATTTATTTAATATTGGAATGAAACAAAGATATTATTGATCCGTATACTCGTGTGCATGTTCAAACAGTATGTACTAGGAATGCTATTTAAATTGACTCCATACTATCAAATTTGGGTTTCACTATAAATATAAAATGCATATAAACATACAAATAAAGTACATGGTAGCACTTTCTTGGTGGTAATGGTATTATTGACATAGAAAGTAACAAACATACATTCGTGATTAAGTGAGTGAATATACAGTGAATATGTAAGAGTATATAAAGTTAATACTGTTTTTTATTTCCTTTTATTTAGGCAAACAAGTATAAGAAATAACCTACATTTTCAAGATTTACTTTGTTTACATTTGTTGCTTTATGTTCAATTATACTCGTTGTGAAATTCCTATGTGTCTGACCTATGTATATATCATCATCATCATCATTCTCAGCATATTCTACTAATTATTGTGCAGCCTCCCTTATGTAGTCATTCATCATTTCTGCCCACGATTATCTAAAATTAGCTTTTCTGTGCCATTATACCGGCTTGTTTCCTTATGTCATAGTCCCATTTTAAATTCGGACGTTTTCTTGGACTCTTGGATACCACAGTGGAATTCTAGTGGACCACCTATTGTAAGTTCTCGCTAAATATCTTGCCCACTGCCATTTTAAAGATTCTAAAATATGATAAAGATTTTAAAATATGATTTATGGTACTGAATCCACTCCTGAAGCCAGCTTGCTCTCTCGGCTGTGTAGCATCTAATGCATTTGTTAATCTGTTGTTGATGATATTTGTGAATATTTTGTATATGCTTGGTAGTAGACTTACGGTATGTAGTTTTTGATATCATCATTGCTTCTTTTTTTAAGAATGAGAATTATGTTGTTCAACATTTCGGCAGGAATTTTATGTTTTACAATTACTTTTTATTCTCAATCTTGTACATTTTAGAATCTTGACAAAGGCATGGATTACCTGCCGAAACGTTGGTTTAAATGGAATAATAAAATCTATTTGCAAATTTAACATTTCTTCTAAGAAACTTCTT